CTAGCAGAAGTCTTTGACTGTGAATTCTTGAAGAAAAGTGCCCTGCTCTGGTCAGGGTAACCTAGCCGTATTCCGCCCATGAGCAGACTGCCGGGTTAATTTCCTTGTTATAAAGATTGTCGTATTGTGGTTTGCCGAACACAGTCTGGACTCGAGGAAGTGCGAATATAATGTTGTCGAACGTGGCTTGAGGTCGGGGTTAATAAATATGCATGTCAGTGAACGGGAAATTCAATGGATTTAATTTTGAGGACAAAGTAAGTTGCATAGCAAACGTCTTTTGAATACATCAGTCGAGGTATAGTGGTTGAATGATTAAAGCTTACGTTTCTTTTGAGCATCTTTTGATTTAGTGGTCCATTGTCTATTGTCTATTGTCGATACTACCGTTCGCAAGTACAGTGATTATGTTATGCTCTCTTCATTGCCATGCATGCTATCCACCCGAATTGTTTCAATTGATTCTTTTTTTGTGTTTCATATAGGAAAGTGCAGCTTCGATCAGTTGCTCAGGCTGGCTGATCAGGGAGATCACCGGAAAGTGGACATGCTTGTCCGAGACATTTATGGTGGAGACTATGCTGCGTTAGGCCTACATGCCGATGTCATAGCCAGTTCGTTTGGTTTGGCCGCTCGATCTCCCGAACAGCCACGCTGTTTGGCCGACGCGATCAAATCGCTCTTGATCACTGTGAGCAAGTGAGTTCATTTCCGATATATTGAATGCGGAAATTTTCTGTTTGTTCGATCATCAACTCTGTACTGTCGTGAGGTAAACATATTAAGACATGTTAAAGAGTAACGAAAAAGGTACAGAGAGCCTGGCTTGTTGAGATGAGATTCAATGACTATTCGTCTGATTTTGGAAATAGATAACTTATTGGGTTCTTTAATGCATAAAAACTTTCCATTCATATCAGTGTTCGTACACAGCTGAAATGGTAACATGAAACGGTTCAACCTGTCATACACTGATACTTCCTCTCTTGAGATTCGAGTTAAGTAAATTCTTCATGAGTCAACTACGCCTGTTAGTCGTGTGTTTGAATCTCACCACCATTCGATGGACGGTGGTGGCCCGGTGGTAACGTCACCAAATTATCACCCAGGGATGTGTTCGAATTCCACCCCCATCGCCTGATTTTCCCCTTTGTGCGTGTTGAATGGCAGCCCTTTGATTAGCCGCTTCCCCTTTCCTGAAAACTGTATCTTTGTATATTCAATAAAAAAGGAATTAAAATGAAAAGAAGAAGAAAGGTCAGTTCACTTCTTGGTTTCTCCTAGTGCCCTATCCACCTAGAGATTGTATTTTTTTTGGCTGTGTTTAATATTCTCAAGTATGCATGGTTGATAGAAGAATCACCAGCATAGATTGGCACAATCTGTTCAGAATCATTTTCCCCGAATCTGTGCACGTGCATTCGACAATCAGAGTAATTTTCATGAATGGCCAACGGCACAACGAGGGCAAGATTGCTAATCAACAAATGTGACTAACCATTCGCGCTGATTTTGTAGTTCGGTTCAATCCTACAGTTTGCTTCTGTTTTTCATTTTGAGGGAAGCGACCATTGTTAGGTGGCACCGTTTCACGATCACTGAGTTCATCAATATTCGACCTTACCCTTGTGTGGTTCATCTTCGGTTTTTACACTCATTAACCATGTATCTTGTGTGCCGGTTTTGGTTACTGTCTTTAGGCTGCTAATTTGGACAAAAGAGCAGAAGACAGATNAGACAGATGGAAAGTTGCGAACAGAGTCAAAAGAAAATGAAGAACTGATGCAGACTAGGGTTGCAATGATAATGAGTCGATGCACGAGCGCCATTGTTTGCGGCGCTCGGCTTCGGCTGTTAGTTTAAAGAGATCGCAAAATCAAAATAAACTTCTCGGGCACACTCTTCGAAGAGAGAGAGAGAGAGAGAGACAGCGCCAGAGTATAGAGGGGTCGACTGAATCGATTTCAGATCGAGGCAGACACAAATCATGGGTCTACGAAAGGAGTGTCTGTGCTACAAAATATGGCGGTCAGTCAGGATATGGTCGATACAACCTCGACCAGATCTAAAACCGGCCTAATTATCACACGTGCACCGTTCACGTGCGGCAAACAGTCGACAGAGTATTATGCTCCCTCTCCCGAGAATTTTGGCGACTGTTGATCAAACTAATTCCTCTGTCGTTTTTGCACGAGAATCTGTTGCCTTTCATGTAAATCGGTAAGATGACCAATTAATACCATTCAGTTGAAAATTGTTCCATCTTCCATATTTGGCGCAAGAGCTTCTTCAACATCAAAACCCAGGCTGAATCCCCATCCGTAAAAGCCGATGGGGACAGCCATTTTTAAGTAGCTGATTTCCTGGGTAGCTTCTATTTCAGATGGAGGGCTGACATCTGCTGGCCGTATTTGCCCAGCTCTAGTGGGCATTTGGTATTTTTGCGTTGATGGGAGCCAGCTGAACTGTACCTGAAAACGTTCTGCTCATCGTTGAAGATGGTGTTGTGTGTGCTGTCGGACTCCTTAATTAGCTCACTTACGTCTACTTTCCTTGACCCTGTATTCCTAATTGAACTGAAAACATTGCAACTATTACCGATAGCTTCAGCATTCTCCATCTCTTTGCGCTTTCCCACGCACCACTTCTCGCGGTCATTCTTCAGCCTGTTGATGGATGAATTAGTGTTTACGCTCCGTGTCAAGTGTGATATATGTAAGAATGGCTCTGCGAGCGAACAGCAGGACAATCGGGGTCAAGGTCGTTTGTTCTTTGATCACGTGCGAGAATCTGCCATTCTTTTGATTGACATTTGGATCACTTCATTGAACAATGTCCGGTGTTCTCTGAGTCCTTCGCCTGTTGATGGAACTGACAGGCGCTTAGAGAGTTTCTCTTCGAGGGTCGACTGGGAACTATCACTTACATGGTATTGTGGACATTTCCGGTGGCTCTCTGCTGTTGTTTATCAGACGTAGGGAGAATGTGGCTCAAAGCAAAGTCTGCTTCGTGTTCATGGTTTTAATCAGTGAGAGCGGCAACCTCAATTGATTCTCGTCATCGATGACTGATGGCGATGTACGCTTTAGGAGAACCAAGAAACACAAATACTCCAATTCATAGGAACTGAAGTACCTCGCTGCTCTAACCCATTTATTTGGCAGTGTTCAACACAACAAACGATGTTTTCCAGCTATGCTGAATCTATCGCCATACACAATCTCAAAACCGATTGACAAAAACAGCGTGTATATTCAAATCCCAACAACTTCCGTTTTTCTGTTATCCGTTTTAATTAGAACTGTTAAATTAGTCTTACTTTTGCCATTCAACTAACCACATATTTTGCCTTGGTTGAAGCATGCGCATGCACAGTTGTAACAAAATAATTATGGATATATCGTGTGAGCCCATGTTAGTGACTTCTCTATTTAAATCTGCCATGAAAAATCAGTGTTTTCAGATAATAATTTTTATTCCCTGTATGAATATACTACTAAAATTTTCTTGATCAACTTTCGGATGTTTATGCGGACACCGGCAGAAGTGCTCATCACATCCTCCTAGTGGTTTTATGATTGAAACTTTCAATGGGCTATAAGAGTCCTTCGCGAAATTGGATTGAATTTTTATCTGTTCCATAAACTGGCATGAAAGTTTATAGTTGTTTGAATAACGGTAGTTACAATGGAACCAACCGAGCATGAAAAAGTCCTCTTTTTGTGTCATCACACTATGCTCGGATTTTCTTAATCTTTTTGTGATCTTTTAATTGATGATGAAGCTGAAATGGTAGCATTTCCATCGGCTTATGAAAGAGATAAACGAACTGTCCTTTCGTTTGACGACTCGTGTGCTTCCATATTAGATTTCCGGCAAAAATCACGAGAGGTGTGAAATAAAAGAATGCATCTCTTGTTTATATCCCTAAACTTATTGTTAAACGTCACCCTTTTATGTCAAAGGTTATTATGCTTTGCTTTGTAAAGCATATCTGGCCTGTTATTTCTTCTTCGCTGTTCACTATCCAAAATTATTTGGAACTTGGTAACTTGGTAACTCTCATCTTTGATAATGTGTTTTCGTTACGAATTGTGTACCCTAATTTGAAGTTTATTTACTTCTTCATTTCCGTCTCTCTCCACCCCTTGCTACAATCTTTCCTCTCATTAGTAACATTGGTCAACTGGCTTGCTTGTATGCTAAACAACACAATCTTACGCGAATCCTGTTCGGTGGATTTTTCATTCGGGGTCATGGTCTAACGATGGAAGTAAGTTCCGACTCCCTTTCTCTAGTTCACACTGGTAAGTGTTTGCGTTTCTCCTGAGCTGACATCCATTTTGTACTCAACGTTTATTCGGATGTAATCCACATCTGTTCAATCTATCATCCCATCTATGTGATCTTCGTTGATCACCCAACTAGTATAGGAAATTATGAGTTTGTATCGAGTTCTTCATGTGCCGTGCTCTTTCATGATTCGCTAGAATTCAAGCCTTCCCCCCGGAGCGTCCTAATTAAGGAAACGATGCCTTTTTGAGGAGATTACTGCGAATTCCTTCTCGTGGCAAGGGTGTTTTTCATTCTAATGAAATAACTGGAAATCAGCATTCGGACTGTAGCCGGGCTGGGGAACCGCAAAAGGCTAGCGCATCTGGGGGAGTTGAAAAACTACATATAATTCCAAGCCCTTCAAGAACTGGATCCAAAATACCCTTCTCCGAAACGCGTGATAGTTCGAGGACATAAGATACGACCGACTGCATGTCATCCCTGCATAAGGTGTCAGGCCGAAGACTCCGGCTAGTTATCTCTAAAAATGTCATCTACTTCGACTTCAGCAACCTTTTAATGTTGCACCCAGAAACATATCGTGGCACATTTCCAATTGGTTAGATACACTTACAATCGGGAACCAAACAGAGGTGACAGTGATATGACTTACAATAACTACGCATCCGTGTTGTCTTCGAAATCAAATTGCTTTATCTTCCTATCATTTTGAATATGAATAGGGAATGCTGTCGTGAAGATTCTCAGATTTTTGATTTAGTTGTCTGATTTCCACTTTCTACTCGAGATTGCGTAACTTATCGGTCAGTCATATATGAAACCGACTCCGAAGGAGTGGTAATTGTCTCATCTCATACACATTGAAGAATAAAATTCGTCTTTCTGGGTAATTTTCTTATCTCTGTCTTTCCAGCTCCATAACAAGTGGGGTCATACAAACTAAATCGTCCTGGCGCGACCATGATACAACCCAGCCTTAATCATGGGAAAAAAATCGTACATGACTGGCATTCTGCTGCTTACGAACACAGAAATGCACGCGCGTATCTCCTCGTTATTCGTGTTCATTTCGAATACATCGTTTTTTCCCGCTTCCCGCATCGCCTGACACGGACAGTGACTGAAACCAAAGTACTACTATTGCATGTATCGTACCGATCGTATTGTGTCATTGCATGCCACAAATGCACGTGATCTCGTCAGCTCAAACGATAACACGGCTCATTTTAGGATGAAATGGAATAGGCGAGCAAGTTAAACAACGCACGACCTTGAAAGCCGTGTGTTCTCATGTTGTTTTCCAATCAGAGAATCACAAAGATTTGC